TTTGGCAGAAATATTGGAGGTTCTTGCACGCAGGTTGGCATTGAAAATGGGTCAAATCGGCCACAGAAAAGCCTACAGTACTCCGTATAGCAGGGACACCTTTTCTTCAAAAGGAATAAAAAATTGTTTTTTCGGTCATTACTTATAAACTACAGCAGATAAGTCTACAAAATTTTGACCGTACATTCTATGGGCCATGCTGTAGTACCTCAACCGAAAATAGAAAAAATTGGCCGTGCCTAGTTAATATTATAGGGTCATAATTGAATTTTTTTTCAAGATTTTTATAACTTATAAAAACAAGTTTTGAAAACCTAAAATTTATAAATTCTTGGCCAGTTTCAAATTTGGAATCCGCCTAAGCATGTCGATCTCTTCATCCGTCCGTCTGTCCGTCTGCGCAACTGTGTAGTATCTGTGGTAAACATTTTTCGCAAAAACGAAAATATCGTTATCAACTTGCGAAAGAATTTGAAAATGAACTAAAGTTTTGAAAGAACACGCCTACAACACCTACACGTCGAAGTAACTAAAACATTGAACATCTTTGTTTTCCGTGTTTTTTACTTGTTACTCACGAAATGCAACGCACACACAAATTTATTCTTTTGTTCTAAAAATGGAAAAAATCAATCAGGCGCCTATCCAATATAGTAGAGTATGAAATTTAAGTTATTTTTCTTTTCTTTTAGGATGACATTGAGGGCTATAAAAGATTCGATCACGACCGAGCATAATTTTTTTACTTGTTTTATTTTCTATCTGACTCGCAAACTGAATTGAATTTAAGAAATTTACATGAACATATGTATGCAACTGAGAGTACTACAAGAGCATTAATTGAGAAACTTTGTAATAATATTATGAAAATTTGTCAAGACATTATCTATATCATCTCTTCGGTTTTAACCGCTTGTGCGTCGTAGAATATTTTAAATTACAGTTAAAGACTATATTAGCGTTAATAAAAAAGATAACGGTTTTTTATTTGTATTAATTATTTATATAAAAATATAAGCAATAACTTTGACGATCACAAATCCTTTACTTTAATGATATTACTAATAAACATATTAATATCGACTACTAATTTATTTAATTGGAGATGATCAAATTTTCGCGGTTTGCAAATTATGCTATTATTTTCAAAACGGCTGTTCTCTATGCACTGTATACGAGTTTAGAGGTGAATAAATAAAATCAATATTTTTCGTAAAGTGAAAAAGTACCCACCTAAGAGCCAATATGACTTTTTAGTATTCATACATATAAAAATGCTAAGCCGAAACTTGTTCCCGGAGCCACCCGTCTCCAGTTGTTTCCATAGAACAAATTTAAAAACTTTGCCAACTAACCTATAAAAATTAGATTTTTAAAAAATATTTCCTAGCTATTTTACAATCAGTATAAGATTGGAAAAAGCTTCAAGTCTTCTTCTAAACTGGTTGTAGCATTATCGATCTGTCGCACTCTACTGCTTTTACAAGTTATTGGTAAGTTTACATTTTATTACATTTCAAATGTAACACCTAACCTAGCTAAGATAGCCTAATTTAGTTGTAACCCATATTACTCGTAATTCTAGCAATAACCTATTTTAATTATATTATTCGCTTAAGTTAGCATTAAATTATTAGTTATATAAGACACCTGGCCATACCTCAGTCAGGTCAGAATATAAGCAAGTATCTAAAACAAAAGTAACAAATAAAGACTTTAAAATAATCCACTAAATAAAAGAACCTTTAATTTTGAGTGGTGTCACTACATGGTAATTCTTAAACAATATTTCAGTCTTCCAATTTATCTTGTATATTAACAGTCGCGCAAATTCCCACGACAGTCATATGGACGAACATTGATCATTACAACTCAAATTCAACATAATTTATATTTACTTACAATACACTTATACTACATCTTGCCCTATTCTGATTTTTAGGAAAAAAGATATAAACGTCAACCTTAGCGAATGCGTACCAAAACTTCAAACCATTTTTCAACTGAACTCTATCTGTTTTAAATCAATACAATAAGTACTTTGGATTTTTCGTGCATATACGCTGATAACTATCAAAAAATTTCATCAAAAGTTCTTTCGCCAAAAATTTGCAGTTTTCTAATTTAAATTTTGCCATAAATCATACAGATGTGTGTTTAATCAAAGAAATGAATTTTGCTTGTTAACAAGCACTAAAGATTTCCATTTAGTAAAAGCTCGATTGCTTGTCATAGTCGGTTAATTATATAGAATAGAAATATCGCTTTGCTTATTTCGAATTCTTTCGCTGATATATAAATTAATAGTTAAAATGACAAAATACGAGCTTAAATAAGCCGACATAGCATTTTGGGCCGATAAAGAATGTATGCACGTATTTTATGGAAACTCTGATGAGTATTTTTAGAAGGATGAATTTATGGCTATATTCCGAATAACATCCAAGAGATCTACGTTATACGGAATTTTTTTGGTTGTAGCTTACGTAACCTAATAACCTTGTTTTTTATTGGGTTGCTTACTTATGACCATTTCTTCTGAATGCCAAAATGGGTTTCACAGTCAAAACAACAAAAAACAAATTATTTTCTCTTACGACTACTGGACTAGTCGCATTGCCACAATAGTTTGTTCTTCTGCGTGGGATTAAATATTATTAGAAAATGGAAGCCCGTCCGCCTAATGCAATGTAAACTTGTTTTAAAAATTTGTTACGATTGAAAACTCTTCTAATTAGAGTAATTAAAAATAAACAAAAATTCATAAATATAACGAACAATTTCTGAAAATTGACCTGAGCAAATATCTTACATTTAATAAACTGGGTGTCATATTATTCAATATAAAAAATGCAGCAACTTTTTTTCAAACCTTTTCCATCTGATGATATTTTTTCGGCTTTACAAATCTTCGTCAAAATTTGATCTATTATTTAACGGTTTATTAACTTAGATATAACCGCGTCCAATCATTCCATTTGTGGTTCCATCGTTATATCCCCTAATAGCCGTACAAACTTTGCCTGTGCATACGCAAAACAACGAGTTCGCTTTATAGCATTTGGAATCTATTTTTCCAAACGATATCCCAGAATCAAGATAAAGAAAAGCACATTTTCAGTGACCATATCATTCTATGATCAAAAACCTCTACGTGTGCTTTCTATTGATTCAATGTCCTCTGTACTGTAAGAAATTCTTAAGTGATTCAATACGCGGAGGCTACTACGTGTTCCTTTGCGTACGTGCATCCTTTACCTTTTTAAAAAATTCTGATACCTTTCATTATTCTGTACCCCCTGGTAACATGAAATTAGACTACAACAGCATTATTTTTCAATTTACGTCAAGAATTTTGACTACCAATACATTTACATTTTCCTTACCGCAAAGAGTGCAATGCCCCTATAATATTGTGCACAATAATAAAATAAAGACAATCAATTCAAAATCGACGTATTTCACAAAAAAAAAGAGCAACAAGCATGCTAAGTACAAGCAATTAAAGCGAACCTAAACGCTTTCATTAAATTTTAAGTATACAACGGTGTAAGCTAATCTTATGCTTAATGTTTAATAATATAAGAACAAAAAGGTAGAAAAAATCTAACTAAGAAAATTATAGCCGTCTATGGCCGAATCTTTTATATCGGGCGCCTTTCTCGTAAAATAAACATGAAATAATGAAAAATTCTTTTTTCTAAAAAACCTATACTTTTCTTTTATTAGGAAAACATTGCCATTCGACAGATTTGTGTGCATCAACTTCCAATTTTCAACGTTTTTGCCGAAATCGAATGCTTGCCTTAATTTTTACAACCAAGGGTGTGTTACTCAAAGACGTGCGTCCAGACATGCCTAGGTCGATTTAAAATTTGATGCTGATCAAGAGTATACATAGGTTTCACAGAATATCTTAATTTCCTTCCTGTGATTTACAAATGTTTCGACGAAATGGATGATCTCCTATCGCATGGTGGTGGGAAATTATATTTTCACAGTTATAATATCTAAAGATGCCTCTCGTGTTAGTCGACAAGTCGCCAAGTCAATGTTACGAGCCCCCTGAATGCCAAATATGACCTACAGATAACTTCTCGCTAATCTCTGCTTTGAACCAATGATTTCGACACACATATGACAGCTTAAGATGACAGAGAACCTCGATATTCGAGTGTCGCAATGGCATGCTGCAAGAAATTTACGGAACTGATTTTATAGACATTCTATCCGAAATCTGTCTACACCAATTATTCCTGATGCGGGTTGTTACGTTAACGAAAATTAATATCTTGCGATATTTCGCTTTTCCCACCTTTAACACGTCCAGCATTATAGTTGCGAACAAAGCCATATGACAAACACGATCTTTTTTGCGATACCAATCCGACTTAATCAAATTGAAGCAAACAACCAATCAGAAGCGGCCTCGATTGGAAAAGAAAAAATGTAATTTTAGTACTTTGAAAAACGAATGGGAGGAACAATCGTTCTGAACAATGATAGAAAGCTATTTCTTGTGTACTCTTCACTCAAAGAACTCGCAGATTGGACTTTCTCAAGATATAAGTAAATGTTTCTTAAATGATCCCTGGTCCGAAAAAAACTGAGAGACTTTTCTTATATGACAAGAATCTAATTGGAACATAGATTTCCTTAGGACGTAAGACGTCGTCTGTTATTTTTTGTATTTATAAGTTTTTCCATATGTATTTAGACACAAAAATTCATAAATCTACGAGATAAAGTCAATAAGTAAGCCAATTGATATCCGTACATTTAAATTAAATTGTTTTTCTATATTTTTTAAGAACTGTTTACATAATAATTTTAAAACAAATAAAAAAAAATATCCAAATTTTAATGGCATTTTGTATTCTTCATGACGTTAACTTCTCAATAACGCTCAGTTTGTATTCGAATATTGTTAATATAGTGCATATGACACACGCACGAGATAAACTGATGACTTTAACAATATTTATACAAAGCCGACTTACCTTCATAACGAGTTCAAAGGGGTATTTATAAACCCTTACAGGGGATTGAAATTTTTGTACCATTTTTTTTTCTTGAAAATCGAACACTCTTCTTCTTGTCGTAATAAAAATTTTTCTTGCGTTATTGTTCAAGTTTTCTAGTTTCTAAATATAAACAATTATAAATATTTTTGTGCCTTGTGTTTAGACGCTCAATTACAATTTGAGGGGAAAAAATAAAACGCTAGACACTTTTTATTCTCCGACACAATCGATAAATTTTTTCATGTTCTTTATGAATTCACTCACGATTATTATACAATAAGCAGTCACACTCGTGACTTTTCCAATTCTGCCGTTATATAAAGTAAATATATTTCCTTTTCTTCTTACATTCTCTTGTAGTATCTACTATGAGTTTTCTTAATTTTTTTTAGGAGATTCTTCAATTGTTTTACAGTAAATAGTATAACATAGTGCAGCTAAGCGATATTATAAAATAATCATATTATTGTATCTATTTTGTATTTTTCTTTTATTTGTTGCTGGTAATTTTTGGTAACTCTTGCCTAGTGATTCGAGTTATTTTACGTTCCGCTTTTATTTTTTTAATTCCCTTTTTTTATGTCTTAATAATATTTAAATTCCGCTTATGTATCTATTTCGTCTACACAGGCCGAGCTTCAATAATAACAACGCTAAAGACTAAAAACAACACAATAATAAATATACTTTAACGCAAATGAATGAAAAGAATCGTATATACGCAATTATTTATACATATCAAAACACTTGAAAATCCAGTTTTTTGCCTCTCTTCCTTTTTCACACTTTCTCCATTCTTCTTTCCGCTCCCCAGTCGAACAAAATGTGTTGAATAAGAGATTTTAATCTAACAGCTGTCTTTCATACAAAAATACTATCTTTTGCCCTTTTTCTTCATAAGCGTTTCAATAAATGACAACGAATTCTTCCTTCTTTATTGCTTCTGCTTTCAATATTATTGTTTTTCAGACAACAGCTGTTTTCTGTAAGCTTTCTCTCTTACTTCTTTACTTAATTATTTGAATCAGAAATTTGTATTGTATAGTTGTCTTTCTCTTCGATTTCTCACGCTCTAAAGAAAATTTTTTAATCAACATGCTATTTTAAGTAGATAATTCAAATATTATTTAATAAATAATTTCTAATTTTATAAAAAAATATATTTATCGAAAAATTTCCTTTGCATTAGTAACTGTTGCTCGTAGTCTAAGCAAAATATTTACCAAAAACTTCACAATTAATGAAATCACGACCGAAAATACAATAATAAAACTACCACGGATTATTTTCTATACTATATGAAATTATTTCTCACTTCCCTTACAGTTCGACGCAGCTACCACGGATTATTTTCTAAATTATATGAAAAAAAATGTTTCCTTGATATTTTTTCGTTTTTTTTATATATAAATTTTGTTTTTATTTTAAAAAGCCTGAGTAAGTTTTCTACCACAAGCATAATGTGAAATATTCTTTTCTATCATAGTTAACTATTCCAATAAATTTTTTGTAAAACAAGAATGGCATTAAAATCGAAACTCTTTTTTAAAAGAATTTTGTACACAGTAAGCATACAATGCAGTAAGAATGAGGTTTTAGATAAAACAATTTTAAAGGGTTGAAAGCTTTATGAAATACTTTTCCGACGGTGTTTCATATTTTCGTTTATATGTTTTACTAGATGAAATTAAGGAGTACTTTAAATAAAAACTTATGTGAAAAATATTTGATTTGCTTGCCAATTTCTTCAACTCGAGAATTCTTATAGCAGAAAAAGACTATTGGCTCATTCTTCAGTCATGGAAAACAAGTAAAGATGATTTATATCAAATTCAAAAAAGTTCTTTGCCGAGTTTTATTTAAAACCTTAAAATCAACGTGACTTGCGTGGGCATTATGAATATCAAACAATTTTGACGGCGAGATAAAGCAGTCATAGTAAGGTCGAGCAGTCAAAATATTTGAATGAATTTCTTTGAATATTATTAACCAGACTAGTAAAAATTGCTTAAATGCGTCAATCACTTAGTGATTCTGATTTGGAATCGGTATCAAATGGAATTTTCGAGGGAGTAAAAATTAAAACTAGTCTTTGAAGTCTTTTTATTTTACGTGTTTAGGTGTTAATGAAAACACGATAAGCCTTCTTCCGCATTGAGGATATTATTCATCACAGTGTTATCGCGTTTGGCGTGTGTTTGTTTCTACAAATTTTTTCTGCATATGCAAAACATATCTGCAGAATGGTCTGATTCCTCATGTTCCGTAGATGTATCCGTTGGAAAAGCGGTTTGTCAGATTTTGATTATCAACACCCATCTCAGCGAAGATAGCACGCAGAATTCGCAATAATTTATACATTAAAACCGTGTTATAATGTAATGACGGACCTAAAACAACGCACATGGGCAGCACATAGTTTCTTAACTCAACAAATTCTTCAGCTTGTATTCTTTACACTAGTTTCAAGTTTTTGCACAGACGCCTCTTCTTCAATTTAACGGTTGGAGATTAAAGCATTTCACGCGGTATATATGCTCAATGGCAATATATATTGGCCAATGGCTCGGCCAAGGCGCGAGCTATAGGGTCATGAACAGCGACATTTATCAAACACATTTACATATGAATTACAGATATTCTCTCGAAATCTTTACTACGAGTTTGTCTATTAAGCGTCTGTCATTAGTAATTGGAGACAGGGTTAAAGACGAAAACCCCTGGGCCGACGGCGAAAATGTCAAAGAGATGTACAAAGGAGCGATTCACGAAGTGCTCCGCCATCGAATCCTAATTAGATTCGATGGCAACTTTCAGCGGGAATATGACTACCGAGATTATCGTCTAGAATTTTGCCTCTCTCGGTATGACTACCGAAAGCAGCACTACGCCATTTCAAGAGCGGCTGAAAAATTGGGGGAACAGTTCTTGCTTCCCTCCCAAGTACAAACGCGTGAACGTTCACAATTGGATGTAAGATTAAATGGTGAGGAAAGTCTATTGTTAGACAATCGCCAGTATGAATGGTACAATTCCAAAGTGAAGTTTATACAGAAGAAAGCCGTAGCAAATATACTACGAGGAAAAATTCGCAACATGCCATATGTGATTTTTGGCCCTCCCGGCACCGGAAAAACGGCAAAGATAGTGGAAATGATTATACAAATTTTTAAATTGATACCCACTGCGCATATGCTTGTAGGCACACCTTCGAACAATTCTGCTGATGTAATAACGGCGCAATTGATCGGCGTACTCAGAATGTATGAGCTTATACGTCTAGTATCCCACAAGGAGCTCAAAAAAGGACTTATACCAGAGCATTTGATGCCGTATTGCGCGACAGGCAACAAATACTGGGATACTGGCCTAAATTACAATTGGGAAGATGAGATGAGTACGGCCAAGTCCGGACTCAAAATGAAAAGTCAAATGGAGTATTTAGGGCGCCATCGAGTAACGATTGGTACTTGTGCTACACTTGGCAATTTTTTGCATATGCGTTTTCCACCCAATCATTTTACGCATGTGCTAATTGATGAAGCCTTCACCGAAAAGTTCTTCTATGGTATACTCAATGCTTGTTACCGGTATACAATAAACAAATTGCAAAGCCGAGCATAAACGATGAAATTCTGAACATTCATCAACATGAATAATGCCATTAGCTGGCGATGGTCCAGTCCAGACGGGATCGTCCAAATAACTTTTAATTCGATTGAGTGTAACTTCGAAAATACTAAGTCCGCAGCAGAGGCGTTCGCCTGTCAATAAATCACCTTCACATGCAATCATAGCTTGCTGAGAATAAGAAATCATAATGTATTTAAATAGTTTTAAGCAAAAATTCATTTTCAAAGCTTTTACCTTAGCAGTACCCAATTTCTCAACAAAACAAAATATTGTAGGTGTGCAGCTAAGTTGATTCAAGATCGACAATTACCATATTCCAGATACAACGAATACACACACCACGTGTGGTATAAGCGCATAAAACATACAAGAACCTGAGATAGATCAGATTTTGGTATTACGATCGATTCAATCTCATTTTCTGACTGTCCGTCTTGTTTCCTTCTTTTCACCCCATAGCGCTTAATTTAAGAGATTTTTTCTTGAAATTTGGTAGACTGGCGGGATAGGACACGAAACGTAATTGACGCTTTACATTGCTAAGAAGATAGCTCGCGCCATTGTTGACACACGCTCGGCTCTACATCCTATAGAAACTACTAAACAATTAGCCTACTGCCTGCGTGAAACTCCTTTTCGTTTAGATAAATTACAGCGACCCAAACATTTGGCCACTAAAACGTTTTAAGCTTTACGTATATATTACGTAAAATATTGCGGGCATGATGTTGTCCATGATGACGAGATAATGCAATCAATTAATTCGAGCAATCGGAAACAACTACATAGACATGTTATTTTACCAGACGAGGAAGAAATAAAACACTATAGTCGCAGTCGTTCGGCAAAACTTGGAACCGCGGTTAAACTTAAGTAATGGAAATAAAATTTAAATGTTTTAACGCTTTTCTCACAAAAATATGGTGTAATTGCATTAAGTTTATTGTGCCAGATATATTTGGCAATAATCTAGCAGTGCGGAAATTGAAGCATGTGAGCTTCGGTATTCTTAGTAGCTTTACACTGCATAGAGTAACATTTTCGACCGGCCAATATACTACAAGTCTCTGTATTTTAAGAAACACCTCCACTGTTTTGTGGTATGATAACGGTACGCAAAACCCGCCGGCAGTGAATCTGAGCGATCATATTGTAGCTTTTGGCTGCGATCAAAGGATGGTTTTGAGGGTATACTTGACTTGGTCGCTTTTGCTCTTCTACCACAACACCGTATAAATATATGCCGTAACTGTCTAATCTCAATGTAACCAAAATCTCACCCAGGTCCTGAGTCATTTAGATTCGATTGATCCGTGGTCGAATCCATCCGTCGTTTCTCCACTGCCATATAAGTGGCATAAAGATGAAGGAATCTGGGAACTGGAGAACTAGCATTCCGCACTAAATGAGCAGCTCTATCATATTCACGTACATCAAAGTAACATTTAGCCAGAAAATAATTATCATATTCTTTCGGTGCTATGCCTTCCAGCATTTTAATACCAAAATTATCTTTTTCATCCTCGCCGTCAATATCCACGTCAGCGAGGCCGTGGCACATCTCAGCTAACCATTTCTGACATTCCACTATACCCTGTCTTAACTTTCTTTTAGCGTCGAGTACCTTAAAGAAGTCATCCTCCATTATTTAACAAGTTTTAAATTTCTAAGAAAAAGCTGGAGAAAGGAAAATAATTAATACATAATTATAGTTATTAAGCGCTGCTTACTCGAAAACCGAACTGTCATGTTGATCGCCCCATATTAAAATTTTCGATATACTTCTTATTCTACCAGCAAACCGATTCTCGGATACCGTTGTATTTTTTTCTATAATACTATATAAATATTTTAGATGTTCCAACGATAAACGGTTTTTTGATTTATTCCAAGCGCCACCAAACCAACTCCGACTACGAAACATTTTTCTTCTCGAGTTTTTGGACAATTTTTACGATTTTTTTTCTATTAATATCGTTTCAATTTTTCAGCCTTTCAACCACAAATGCAATTTTATAATTTTAATCCGAAAAAGTTCTTCAAATTACAGCTTTTTTTACTTGATTTTAATAATTGCGTTTTTCTTTTTTTTGAGTTGTTTGGAGATGGATTGGACCAGTTAAGTTAAAATTAGATCCATAACCCAGTAACGTAGTTGAAAGCCATTGCTGATAATATTGAGCATTGGTAGAGACTGATGTGACAGAGTGTTCAATGTGAGAAGCTTTGTTCTGCTGTCAACCCATAAATCACCGTACTTGGTACCGTACAGTCAAAAGTCCGGCTAGAAATGCCGGCAAAAGAAAAAAAGGCGATTCGTGACTGCAAAAGATATTATGAATGCAAAATTGAAACGAAAAATCAGCTGATTTGATAAAGGCAGTCAGTTGCTTCAAATGCCTAAAGTTACCAACACGAAAAATTTCATATAAATTGTTATACAAGCTAATTGGACTGTAGACTGTCTGAGGATGTCAAACCTCCTTCTCAAAAAGAAGGTGCTTGGCAGACTCAGTAATATTGCATTCTTCACAACTATCAGTGGAGGAGACTTTGCTCATTTTAAAATATATCTTGTCGTAGGTGTGATTACACATAAGACGTTGAAGAACCTTACATTCCCATGTTGTAAATTTTCCTTTAGGTAGAAGTGTGGATGTCAAAAAAGGGTAAATTTTGTAGAAAAGCCGGTCACTTTTTTCTCTAGCTGAAACATGATACTCGTCTTTCCATTCTTTTACGATAAGTTTTTTGATTACCAGGAGAGCTTCGCTAAGGGTATAGTTTATGGACAAAACCGTACCATCAAACCGAGCCGCACGTGCATGGAAGTCAGCTTTTTCATTGATACTAAAACCGCTGTGACCTGGGATCCAGATGATGTGGCATTTTTCAATGCTTGGGTCTTTTAAAGAGTTGTAAATATCGAACACGTACATATTGTATTGGTCTTTTTTCTTGATTAAAGTCAGAGCCGATTTGCTGTCAGAGAAAACTACAAATTTTTTCAGTTTATTTTCAGATGCAAGGAGGATTGCCTGTCTGATGGCCAGAAAGAAGTTCAATGAACGTAGATGATAGTTCTTGTAGAACTTTGAATTTTCCTAAAAATAAATTTGGGTATTCTATGATTGAGAAACTAGCAATGTCCGAATTGACAAATCCATCCGTTGCGTACATTTTGAAATTATTCTCGATGAAGTGGTTAAGTTTTTGCAGACGAGCAATTCGAAGACCGATTGACCGATTTTTTTTAGAATTGTTGATCGAATTAAGTGAGTTTAATTCCACTACGCACTTATCATGAATGATATTATTCCAAGAGTTTTGAGTTATCAGAGAGTATTGAGTTAACTTTATTGAAGATGTTACTGAATTTTTTGAAGCAGTTAGGGTAACTACTGATGACGTAATTGTGTTTGGAAGCGACTTTGTCAAAGAAGCCAGGTTTAAAGATATTTACCTTGAGAAGTTCTTTTGCAGTTACAAGAGAAATTCTCTTAGCTACGGGGAGTTCATATGAGATGGAACGTAAAATTGATGTTGGTGTCGAGGGGGACAAACCGTTACAACGTCTTAGGATTGAGTGTTGAGAGGTTTGTATTTTTTTAAATGTACACGCTGGAGCATTGCATGATGTGGAGTAAGAATGTTCAATTTTGGATCCAACAATTGATTTGTAAACGTTTAAAGCTTTTCTAGGTGGGAGTCCGGGGTGGATATTGGTTAAAAATTTGATGAAATTTGAGCCTGTGTTGCAATTTTCGAGGCTGTCCCTATAATGCTCATGAGTGGTTAAACTTGAGTTGATTATTCTACCCAAAAATTTAATAGAGGAAGATTGAATGATTTTTATGACATTGACTGTAATGTAAAAATATTTTTTGGGACCCTTAGCAAAGCGGATGACTTTTGATTTTTCCAGGTTGAAAGTTAGATTTAGGTCTGTACAATGTCTGTGAAAAAGATTGGCTTTAATGTCGAGGTTACGGACTGCTTCTACTAATGATTTCTTAACAGAGATGATGAGGAAATCGTCAGCATATTGAAATAAATGGGTTGTATTGTCCTGTAATCGATGTAAGCTATGTATAGATTGAAAAAAACTGGGCTGAGACAGTTACCTTACAGAAAGAAAGTTGAGAATCCATTACTTACTTCGTGTCGGGATTTTAAAATCAGAAACTGGTCTAGTTTCCCTAGATTAACGCTGTCGTAAGCTTTATTAATGCCTAAGCAAAGCATAACTACCTGACTTCCATTTGATTTTTCATTTGCAATTGTGAAAAAGACTTCATTAAGGCACATACCGGTGGAGATGTGTTTTTGGTAAGCAAAAGACCTTGACGGGAGCAAGTGTGAGTAGTCTGAAGTTAATGAAAATTTCAAGATCTTTTCGGGGTTTAGGAATGAGAACTATTTTAATTGTACAGTGGGAAACGAGTTGGTCATCCAGCGCTCATTTATAGCAGATAACAGGATTAGAAGGCTTGGCACGGGAAGGACCTTTATCATGTCATATTTGATTCCGTCATGGCCTGCTGCTGTGGATTTCTTTTTCAACTTAAGAACGTGCATGAGTTCATCAAGGGAGAATGGAGAGATGTTATCCATCTGAGAGTTAAGTAAGGAAGCTTGGAGACTATTTGTCGAGGGAACTTGAGCTTTCAACTATTCTAGGTAGGATTTGTTGTTATGATCATCCCAAATGGGGTGTTTGTATTTCCTTTTTGTGGTACGATGGCCATTTAAAAATTTCCAGAATGGTTTTGTATTGCTATTTGAGCAAAGCTCTTCGACAACTAGGGCACGTTGACATCTTTTGGCTTTTCTGACTGATTTCTTCCATTCGTTTTGGGATAAATTGAAATTATCAAAATTAGAGAGAGAATTTTTGTTTAGCAACTTGTAATTTACGGAATTGTGAAGTGAGCAGTTCGTTCCACCAAGGTTTTGGTGAGCAGGAATCGGAGATGTGGATGTTTGATTTGACGTTATTTACTTCTCGTTGAAATGAGCACTTGATGGACTCAACCTGTGGCTCAAGACATACGTGCCTAAGATTGCTTAGGAGTTTTTTCCTCGAGATAAAATCATTTATCTTGTAGGTAATAAAGGTGGCGCCAAAGAGAATAGGAAGGTGGTGACTTTTTCCCAGAAAAATTTCTTTTTTGACCTCCCGTTTGAACGTAAGATTGGTTCTGTTAGCGAAAGTTAGATCCAACACGCTACGACAACTGTTTGTCGTAGAGTGCACATAGGTTGGAGAATTATCATTAAAACAACAGAAATTACTGGCTTCAATGATTTCTTGCAAGGCTTTGCCTTGATTGTTTGACACGGGGTGTCAAGCAAGGGTGTCTTGCATTAAAATCTCCTGCAATTATAACATTGAAAGATTGAATATGGGTGTTGAAATAACAAGCAGCAATAACAATATTAGGTTTTAGGGAAAAGGTTTTGACAATAACAATGTCAGCAGCTGATTTAAAGGGAATTTGTTTGAAGGAGATGGCTTTCCTGGCAAGGATGGCAACACCTCCATAGCCGTCACACCTACATTTATAAGCGGAGTTGTAATTTGAGATTTTGAGACCGGAAATGTTGTCATCGGACAGAATTGTTGGAATTTATGAAATAATCAAGCGAATAGGCATTACGCCTGAAGCTTTGTTTGTTATATTGTAGGAAGGAAGTAATGAAAAATGCTAGAGCATGATAGGGCCGACCCAGATGTACCTTGTTTAAAAGACCAAATTTTGATTTAGGGAAAACTATTTCTGCTTGGATGGTTTTAAGCATTTCTTCATGAGAAGTGATGGAGAGAATCTTGAAAATCTTTTCCAGAATTATCTCCACTTCAGTGGATTTGTAGTAATTGATGTGAGTATGCTTTTCAGGAGGTAGGGGAGGTTTTTTTGACTCCTGCGACTTGCTACTGTAAGTCGCAGGCGTCTTGAGAGACATTCTAAGCAGGCGTTTGGGAATACCCGTTTTATTTTCTACAACCGCATTGAAATTTTTGTTAACTAAAATATTATTTGTTTCAATAATAGGGTCTCTGATGTTGCTGGAAGCAGTGCTATCCTTCATTGCTGGGAAGTTTACATCATAGTTATCGAGTAAATTGTAAGGGTTGTTAGAGAATTTTTCTCTGTATTTTCTAAAAGATAAGTTTTGGATGGTTAAAATTTTTTTTAGATTTCCCTCTTTCTTTCTTTTTGGACACTCTCGAAAGGTTACGTTGTGGTCCAAAGACCCACAACCTAGACATTTGACTGAAAGGCATGAGTTCGTAGAGCAGGCCGGTGTCTTGCCACGATTCAGGCATCTGCTTTCCTTACTTTTACAAAATTTGGCGATGTGGCCAAATAGGCCGCAATTATAATAAAGCTTAACGGAAGGAATGAAGTAATCTACTGGAATATTGCTATAGTTGAATTTTATACTCTGGGGAATTAGTTTTCCCTTAAAACCAATCTTTAGGCTGACATTTCTCTGTCTGCAGGATCCTTCTGAGAGTTCTTGTAACGGAAATGATTTCAATATCAGAGGTAGCTGAATGAGGAAAGTCTTCTTCCTTAATTAAAGGTGGAATGTTTTTTGCGATCCCGAATTTTTCTGTGAAAATTCTAGGGATGTAGGCCTGGCAAAATCAAGTTTGGCTTTGCCATTGCTGATGGTTTTATTAATAATCAAACCATCCAATTTAAGATCTTTGGTGTGATTGAAATAAAAACAGTCTGAGTTAATGTGAAAAGGCTTATCTGTGATATTGTTACATACTTCAATGAAGACGTAACACTCACCGGTCACGTCATCACTATAACGATTTTGACTTGTTGGGTCGGGGTTCTTTTCTTTTATGGGACTACAATTTTCATTGCTATTCTCAAAACTGCTTTTATTGGGAGGCTAGTTTTTAGAAGGAGCGATCGGAGACTTTGAGGATGTGGTATTGAAATCCTCAGTCAATTCTTTTACGGATG